AGTTTCCCAAGAACTCATTTTGCTTTATTCTATTTAATATATATATATATATATATATATATATATATATATATATATATATATATATATATATATATATATATATATATATATATATATATCATTTACTTTGTATAGCAAATTATTCAATTCATCGATTGTATAATCGATTCTTATAGACATATCCTTTTATTGTCAAACATTTCACATGTTGATTATATAATCAATTAGATTGTAAGTGGTATTTCATATCAACAAAGTCAAAGGAAAAATTTGAAAAATCGATTACACGCCAAGTATTTGATAATTTGCTTGTTTAAGTTTTATCAATAATTTCATCAAAAATTGGTTAACGATTGTGTTCATAATAAAACAATTGATTGAGAAATCATATTATTAAGGCTTATCATCATATTTGATTTTATTCTATGGTTTACGCATATCCGAGTTTCCAATAGTCGGTTCAGTTCGATCTAAGCTTACTCTTCCATTTGCCATAGTTTTTGTTCTAATTTTGTAACCGAATTTTAAATACTAAATTTTTGTTTGAGGATCTATTCACCCCCCCCCCCCCCACTAGATAAGTTGACGTCCTATAATAATATGTTAGACTATAGATTCACTAGCGTCGCCAGCAAATTTGATAATCTTATAGACTTTCCAGCCCCTTGTGAGTTCCATCTGTAACACGTACCCCGACAATGAGGATGAATAGTTAGGCCTCTGAAGGCCAATATTCATTCCATTTTGAGTCATTATCCTTTCGACAAATAGCTTCAAGATTGCTTTCTCCAGCCAAATTGTCTTGTCGAACTTGATGGACCACTTGGTCTGTGTCTTAATTGTTTCCTCAAATATGATTCCTTAGTTTCAGACGAGTCTAATTGGTTGAAGTTGTACCACTAGTTAAATTTGCGCCCGAGGGGCTCCAAAGAAATCAATTATTCGCGTCATCTAAGCTGCTAACTGTTGATTACTTTGAGTAATCAAATTAACTCGTGGTGAAGCAAATTAACTATTTCATGGTTACTTTCATCCATTTGTTGTCATAAAAGTTTCACAAAACTTATGGTGAAAGTGGGCATTACTTAGGAAGAAAATTCCACTCGTAGAGGCTGGGTGGTTCAACCAAAGTTGTTTACAGTCGATCCTGATCCCTGTAATAACGAGTCTGTATTCAGTGTATTTGAAAATGTCGAAGCATTCACATGCAAACATGCCAACATCGAAGTTGACAAGCCAACAAGATGTTCCCTACCATTCATGGGCATTGTGAAACTAGGTATGTATGGCCTAAAGTCACTATCCATAGTTGGTCTGGGAGTCACATAGTGACTTTGTGTTACCGATGAAGTAAGTATTGAACCACTCTATACAGTCGACGAGATGACCATCATACTTTCTGTAAGGGGATTGCCTCAGTCTAACTCACGATGACTGTGCCTTCTCCCATGGTATTTGAATATTGTTCTCCATTGTTATTATTCTTAGGGTTCACCATTTTCCTAACGTATTTCGTTTTTGGAACTATCACATTGTTCTTAGATATCCTACCACTTCTCAATCTCATGCACACTCACGATTTTGAAAAGTTTCATGAATGAAGAACATGAAAAATATATTTTAGAAGAAATGTAAACCTTTTACACAAACGGTTCCGCTTGGCGTGCCAATTTGTTTACCGTGAAATTTGGTAATCAAGCGCTAGTCTTTCAAAAATAGGTTACTTGCAGGATCGACTAGATTGATCCTAGGGCATATGTGCATAAAGTTTCTTAAATTTTTTGATGATTTTCTGTGTAAAAGATAGAGACTTCGACGTAATCGAACTCTTTAAGGTAAAATGAAAGGCTAAATGTATGTGTAGGAAATGTAAATATTTTCGACATAAAGTAAAATGTTGAAGAGTAATTTAATGCAAAAGACTTTGAATTGATAAAAGTTGGTGTTTGAATACATAAATTACACTCTGTTACTTTTTTCTCACTCCGCTTAGATATTTTGAGTACATTGAGTTTTCTGGAGTAATGTCAAGACACAAAATGTAACAATAGAATCTTCAATTTATACTAAAAACCAAATAACTATAACGAACGGTTCTTTCTTCAGAAAGTAAAACATTTTCGCTTACATGCATTTCACCTTAAATTTGGTTCCACACATCCTTTAGAAATACATAAGGCTAAAAAATAGTCACCTAGCTAGCCTCGTTTATTACGTCTCAACTTCTCCAGTCAAAAAAAAAATTCAAAAATATTTCAAAAAAATTATTTATTCCCAAACACTATCGTGCGCCCATAAACTTTAACATACTTTTTAAATATATATGTCGAAAACTATTCATGTAATATGAATTACAAGTGTTTGTGATTTACTAAGGTGGAGATTATTAGGTACGAATAATAGACATAGTAGATGAATCCTAAGGTGCAATATTGAAACCCTAATTCATTCACATAATAAGAATGAACTACAACAATTTTGGAATCACAAAACACATATCATGTTTACATTTTACGATCTATGTTCCTATTGTTTTATTACTAGTTGATGCTTTAATAAATAAAATATCTATTTTAATTTTTTCATTACTGCAAAAAAAATGAAAATAGAAAGGGCATCTTTATGGGATAAAAATAGTAAATGATACTGAGAACCCAAAAAATAAGATAATGATGATAACATTTGAAGACAAAGTGCTACGTTTACGACTCCTTATTGGCTACTTCACTAACGTTTCTGTACGAACACAAGTGGCATTGTACGTTTACCACTATCTTCAATGCTATTTTTTTCTTCATGTATTTTAAACGTTT